GGTATTTTTTTTTAAAGATTTTTATTGGGGAGTTGGGGGATGGGAACAGACAAGTTGCTGTCCTTTTGTTCTTCAGTCTAGTTGTGGAGGACGTTGATTCACTGTTCCAAGTTGGCACCATCATTGCGCTCTTCCTGGGCGAGGCAGATCAGTCGCCCGCTTCTGGACGGCCGCTCACTGCGGCTGCTGGCCGCTCATGCTGTGGCCGCTCATGCTGACTGCTGGCTACACACGGTAGCCCATGGCAACCCACTGCCACCGGGGCTGCAACCTACGCCACTGTTGCTGGCAACTTAAGGCAGCCCAGCTCCAGGTTGAGCTGTTGTTCAGCATCTTAGCTGTGGAGGGCAGTGTCACTGGCCCTCATATGTGGGATCCGAACTGGGGCCCTCTGGCATCCCAAGCGAGTTCTTAACCATCGCGCCACTCGGCCGGCCCTGGATATTTCTATTAAAACCAAAAGATGCAAAAGAATTATGTACTAACATAAAATAGTACCATTTTTATTTTAATTTCTTGGTCACAGAGATAATACGCCACATAAAAATAAATGTTTTTACTAAATTTGTCTTACCTTTATTACTTGTCTGTTGATTGTCTTTATTAGGATTTTAATATTTATCTCCATCATTGTGAACTTCAGGGAGTGGACAGCTATGTTTATAATCTAGAGATTTCACACTTTTTCTTCAACAGATATATTACAATTTTTTTTATAAAACTCACTCTTTTTTTTTTCTATTTGCAAATATTTCGTTGTTTTAAAGTTTCCAAAATCATCATTTCTTCAATACTACCAGCGATAGTGTCAGGGCATGTAAATCTTAGAGCCAGATTTCCTGGGCTCTAATTCTGCCACACACCAAATGGGAGACGCTAGGTAATTACTTAAATTTCCTCGTAGGTAATAGAGGCCAGTAACAATACTTTTTTTTAAGGATTTAATAAAACAATGTATGGAAAATAGCACCCTTCTCATTGCTCAGGCCAAAAAAAAAACATTAGAATTATTGTTGACTTCTCTGTCTCATATACACTATACCCAATAGAATTCTGTTAGCTTTTCCTTAAAAATACATCCTCAATCCGACCATTTTTCAATCTCACTACCACCCTGATCCACGCCACGTCCTCGCTCCCTGATTATAGTAATAGCCCCAGACTAGACTCTTTGGCTGTGCCCTTGGACCCTTCAGCCTCTTCTCTTCTTAGTAACCAGACTGATTTTGTTAAATCTAAGATAGGTGACATCACTTCTCTACTCAGATTCATCCAGTCACTCTCTGTTTAATTCAGAATGAAACGCAGAATCTTTCCAATGGCCGCACACTCCCCAATATGCTCCCACTTTCTCCATCACCACTCTAATATGTACCCTCATCCTTGCTAACTCCTCTCCAGCCACACTCATTTTCCTGTCTGTGAAAAGATGGGTAAGACATGCTCCCACCCCAGGGCCTTTGAACTTGTCATACCATTTGCCTGTGACCTTCCCACAGAGGTTCACTTACTAGTCCAGCATCTATGTTCCAATGTTACCTCAGAAGCTATCCTTAACCACCTTATTTAAAATTGAAAATGTTTCCCCTCCCCACACTTTTTATTTCCCTGCCCTCCTTTATTGACCATATCACCTGCTACTGTGTAAGTGGCGTATTTGTTCTTTTCTTACCTCCATCACTGTCAGCTTCATGAGGGTAAGGATTCTGTTCATTGTGATTGCTACTGTATTCTCAAGCTAGAAAGTCTCTGAAACACTATGGAACTCAATATAGTAATGTAGTGAATGAAGGGTACCTGATACATAGTAACTATTAAATAATTATTAGCTATCCACGTTAAAAATTTATAATTAGTATTGTGCATAAACTTAAGCATCTTTTAGAAAAGAATGCAAAAGCACTTCAAGGTCTTTGTATATTTAGGAAAAAGTGCATGCTAAGTCATTAGGAGTCGTGACTTCTACAATAGTTTCCAAGCCGAGGAAACACTTTTTGAACATTGTAAAAGAGAGTGGTACCATTTACATCAGGATGACAGGAGTTTGCAATCTTGCTAATAAATAAAAGAAAAAGAGAAAGCTATTATTAAATACAAAAGAGTCCTTTTGTATAATTCAAAGAAAAATGACAGCAAAGGTAGACATACACAAATTCTAATAATAAAAGTAAATTTAAAATTGTATCATTTAGGATAAAGATATTCCAAAATAACAAGTATACATTTTTTATTTTTCTGAAATCATCTACTAATGACCAAGCTATACTAGACTCTCTAGTAAAGTAAGTAAAAGTTATAAAGAAAACATGGGTCCTAAGATAATTTTATCTAAATTCAGAAAAATAAAGGGATCCACACAAAGAAAGGAAAGAAGGAGGGAAGGGAGGAAGGGAGGAAAGAAGGAAGGAAGGAAGGAAAGAATGAGTAAAAGGAAAAAAGAAAGAGTGAAATGGAAAGAAAGAAAAAGGAAAAAACACAAATGTGTTGCCATTCGGAAGATAAAACGACCAGTTCCAGTTGGGGCCCTGGGGCAGAAAGATGCAGAAAAAGCCTCCTGAAGTTGGCAAATCTTAAAACTAAGCTTTCTTCCAGCACAATGCTGATGTAAGGATGTTTGGGTTGCAAGAATATTTGTATTATAGGAATTAAGAGAAAGAAAACAGAAGGGAAAAAAACCCTCAAACAAAACTAAACAAAACATAAAAATATCTACCTAAAAAGTTGAGGTGTGAGTGGAATAATGAGTTTAAATGAGTGAAAAGTTGCCAGTTGTATCTCTTGTAGTCTATGGAAAATGAAATACATTAATATAAGTTACATTGTATCTTTTGTAAACATTAAATGATTAATCAAATAATTTTTAGAGCTTAAAGGACCCTTTGAGATCTTCTTCAAAACCTTCATTTTAGAGATGAAGAAATTGACTTTCAGGGAAAGGAATTGATTGCCCTTTAATATCAAGAGAAATAAAAAGAGGGAGCGGGATAGAGATTGATAGAGAGGAAGAAAGACGAGGAGAGGAGAGGAGTGGAAGGGAGGAGAACAGAGAGGAAGAGAAGGGAAAAAAAAAAGAAATGCCAATCACTGTGGGCCTTACAAACCTCCAAGTTGAACATGGTAGGGTTTTGGTAACTGCTTCAACAAAATAACTGCAAAATTTCAATTTCTTCCTCATTTACTTGACAACAGTTCAAGGCAAGTCCAGGTTTTACATTTTTTATTTTTTCCATCTGTACCCTTCTTCCTCCATTTTACCCGCTGTGTGACTCACTGACTCATCTCCCCTGGTCTTTGCTCAAATGTTACTACAGCTCTCTGTACTAAAGTAACATCATCCGTCCCCACCTTTGACATCTCTTCCTTCCTCTCTGCTATATTTTTCTCCAGTGCACTGACTGCAGAGCATACTTACTCTTTTACTTAATTTGTTTCTGTTTATTGTTTATCTTCTGCTTCAATGTTCCATGAAGGCAGGGTTCTGTTTGCAGCTATGGCTCCAACTCTTATTAAAAGAATGCTTGGCATGTTATAGTTGTTTAATAAACAACTATTGAATGAATAACATGTCATTTACCTGAATCTAGGGGAAATGTATTTTCACAAATATCAGCTTTAGAGTCAGATCCTGATGTGTTTCAGTTCTGGATGCACCCCTTTGCTGGTTGATGACTTTGACACACTACTTAATTTCCATATGCTTAATTTATTTATTATTAAATGTAAGTAAAAATCATCCCCACTTCATAGAGTTTTTATAAGGGTTAAAGGAAATAATACATGTAAAGATTCTGGGTCTTAGTATTTACTCAGTAAATGTTAACCATCAATCAGTATTAACTATTATATATTAGCAGGTCTGGGTATAACCCTAAATGTTTAGAGCATAATTAACATAATTGGCAATTAATTATATCCTAAGATATACTATGACCTGTCCAATCTTGGTCTGTACCACTGCTAGGAAACTGATACTACAAGCTGTACATGGCATGACATGGCATGTGATAGCAGACTTTAAGCTTTATTAATAAAAGAAATCAGTGCATGTATCACAAACAAAATTGTTTTTTCTTCTGTCACAATACTATGTCAAATGATTGAACTTTTTAAAATATTACATGTATTAATAGTTACCCATGTCAAAATTTATGTTTGATAGGTATCAAAGATTGGGGAAAAAAAAAAAGCTCTACAAAACATTTTGTTTTATTTTACAAGGTTAAATATATAGGAATCTGTCTGTTTTTAAATTTGAAGAGATATTGGTATAACGTGGAATGTGAATTTTGTGAAATGTGTCAACAGTACTTTTATAGCCACCATAGAAATTTTCTTTTTATATCATTTTACATTGATTATAGCTTTCATTATTCATATACATTTTATATATGACTAATATTATAGTGTCTTACCTTTTTTTATCATTCCAATTGTAATTATCCTTTTCAATGACCTCTCTCCTTTTTGCAGTTGTAGTTTTATTTCAATTTCCTAATATTTTTAAAATCTTTCCTGTAATGTTCATTAGCATTTGTTTTATGGTTTCTCAGAATTCCTAACACCCTTAAGTCAAATTCACATTTATAAAACTTTCCAACTTTTAAGAAAACAAATTCTCAAAATTATAGTTTTTAATTAATCAAATAAATACTTAGAAATCCTTTGAATTCTTACAAATATCTCTTCAAGTTCCAAAGGGGCAATGTGTCCAATAGAATTTGCATAATTCTAATTTTATTTTCAAAAAGTTTAAGTACATTAAAATAGTAGCGATATGTTTAATTCTTATGAAAGCTATAGTAGTGTCAGTATTAATTCACTCACAGGCTAGCTTTTGTGTTATTAATTTTGGGGATTTACTTATTAGATGGATGGGTCATAAGAAAATTATATTTCACTGAACCTTGGGAAAACATGCAAAAAAGAGAGATTAGTACATGTAAAGGAGAGAAAAGGAAGAAAGATAAAAATGAATATAATTGTCTTTGTCTCTTTTCTAGCCCTAGGAAAAGATAAGGATTACACGGATGAATCAGAACATGCTAACTACGACCGGTCTCTGCTCATTAAAGATTTTGTTCCCAAAGACAATTCTGAACCCAAGAGAAGACTGCCGAAGGTAATGCAAGTTAAACTGCCAATAAGCCATGTCAAGACCATACCTTCTAAAACCTTTCATTTTTTTTTCAATAATAATCTATATTGTGCTGGAGAGTATAAGTGGGCACAGTTTAATCATACATATTTAACAACTCAAAACTGAAAAGTAGTGTGTAGACATAATATTCATTTATCAGACAGAATTTTTAAAAACAATCTGAAATGTAAGATCATTCAGGAATACTTTCCTTCGGGAGTCATTCTTTCATTTTTTAATGTTTTCTTCAAAGGCAGCATGGTTTAATGAGTACTTAGATTTTAGTATTAAATGGACCAAGATTTGAATTCCAGTCCCCCTACTTACTAATTGTGGTAACTTAAGCAGGTTAATGAAACTTGCGGAGCCTTGTTTTCTGTATCTATAAAATCAGAATCATGCTGTCTGCTTGACAGAATCCTTCGATGATTACATGAGATAACCATATGAAAGCATCTGAAGCATAGTAAAAGTTGACTATATAACAACTTGGATGTTGAGAATACCCCCCCCCTGAAACTAGACTCTGTTAACAAATGAGTAACTGGGCTAGAGTTCCGTTTAATAAAACAAACCTGGCTTGAGCAATTACATCATCATTCAAAATCAGACTCTTCAAAACTCCTGAGTGTGGCCACCCAACACCCCTTTGATGCGTTCCCAAACTAATCCTGACTCACTCCAAGCTTACCTGTTTTTTTTTCTTGCTTTTTATTGATTAAAGTAGGAATGTCTTTGTAAGAATAATTTTCAGTTTAATATAAAGAAAGACAGCTTTCCTTGTCACTGCGTGACTAATAATCACATTTATGAATACATCTTTCTCTGTGATGTTTGATTTGCTTTGGCTTGGATGAATTTTGCAAATCCCTTCATTAGTGACCACCAAAGCATTAGTGAAGAAATATGGTATGATTTAAATATTATGATCATAAAAGAGACCACACTTTAATAAATAGATGCTAGGATAAATGCTTGTGCCAAATTTCTTCATTCCTCTTTGGTTTTGTTTAAAGCGGTCACTATTTTATTGCCAATAATTCTTAGGTTATTTTGACAAGTCAGAGGCTTGCCTCTCTGTGTTTGCTTCATCTCCCTTCCTGTGTCTGTCTGAGTGACCTAATGGATGTTTAGAGAGTCTCTGCTGTCTGTAGAGCATTGTTTCAAGTGACCTGAGAGAAGGTGTTTTAACAAACATTGAGGAATAAAAGAGGTTGTTCCTTAAGATGCCTATATCACCAATAGGAAGACAAGTATGCTTGAAAAAATTAGAAAATGAGCTAAGTTTAAATAAAATTTGTATATCTGCTTCTTTAGAATTTACCGCATGCCACCAATGATACCCTCGATTTCATTACTGCTCAACAGTAGCCATTTCCGAAATCTCACTTTGACTAAGCTCAAACTTTAGAGTATAAAGTTAAGAAAAAATAGTTAAACCTGCATGCATATTTTGGCTTTGACATTAAAATAAGAGAGGATGTGTGATGATGATAATAGGCCACAGTTGTTCAATCCCCGAAACTCTATAATCTAATGTCTTACTGAATCTACCTGATAACATAATCTTCTACTGTTGCACTCCTACTCAAATTGCATAAATGTCATGCATCAGCTGGATGATTTTGGACTCGCTCTTCTAGCTTCTATCAAAATATATCTACTTTTATCCATTTCATAAATTGGAGCACAACACAAATTCCATTTGAACAAATGGTTCCATTACAACAACAACAACAAAAAAATGTTTAAAAGCCATTAGCTGGTTACTTGCTTGCAAAGCTTATCTTCAAATGAAGGGAGAAACACTCTGCTTAGAATACATCCTTTGTGTACGTTTGCCACAGGGAACCTCAAAAAGCAATGACCTATATATGTACTACTGTTTGGACTGCTATCTGGATATCCTTCAACTTAAGAATTTATCGACCTCCTCTTTTTCTACTCCACCATTAAATGATATGCATATATGTATATGTATATACAGAGGGTACCAAAAAAGTTCCAACATTTTAAAGAAGGAAAAAAAAATAATGTATTAAAATTACACTGATGTGTACCACTTTGAGCACCTCTTGTAATTGCAGAAGTCAAACATGACTTGTATTCATCCTTTGTTACCAGTATATATTACTGCAATTATTACAGTTTTTCCTTTCTTAAAATGTGTATACATTTTTTGGCACCATCTGTATGTGTGAATATGTTATGGTATATATATTTTTTAAATAGGATCTTCTGAAATTGACAGTATTCATTCATTTATGCCCTACAGAATAGCAACTTCCATATGGTTTAACTTAATGTGTATTAATATATATGTGTATATAATTGTGTGGCTGAAGATCTGTGCCTCACACATTATTTGCTTAGGATGATTTTACTGGTTGCAGCTTGCCCCACACATATTAGGTAATGTATCTGATATTTTATTTCTTCACAAAAGCTACTCAATTACAAAGGGGCCATTTTAGAGTGACAAAGCAAATTTATACAGAGTCCAAAGGAAGGGAGTACAAACGTGTAGGGGAAAGTGACTCCTAATATAAACTACATTGTGAGAATGACAGGTACTGAATTACAGAAAACAAATAGAGCTTTCTCACAAAATTTGCCATCCGCTATACACTAGGTTCATAGGAAATAGCAACACCTCCAAGGTGGAGTCTTACAGTGAATTTAAGATGCAACTGTTCAGCTTGTCAACTGTAAAACAAACGAACAAATCTAGAAATAATCCTGACTAGTTTACTGGGCATTGTGTAGATCGACTTTATATCTGTTTGATAATTTGGTTTGTAAACCATTGTGCACACATTTTCTGAGTGGTCTTGAATCAGCATGGTGAATTTTTATTCTGATCATGTATCTACTACTTATCATAATTTAGTAAGCTATTTGTAAGGCACTTAGCTTGTTCTGGAATTAATCTTTAGAACAATAAATAATATGTAGAATATTTTGCTTCAAATCATGAACTTTTAGCATGTGTTACTTATTTATACTAAATTTCTTTAATGTCTTAGAGATTAAAAAATTTGCAATATTGAGGTCTAATATGAAGTAATATTGATAGAATCATAGGGTATATATTTTACTTATTTGGAAGCTAGTATGTGCAAAGCTGGGCAATGTAGGACAGAGAAAGATGGCACACAGAGACAGGTCTAGCTGTCCGGGTACTGGGATGTAGTTTAAAATGCATGCTTATAAATGGAGAAAACTAAGAGCCCTGGAAATTAGAGATGACACTAAATGTGGGAGAAGTCTAGGCTTAGCTGGCCTCACACTTTATCACAGAAGCCATATTTAAATATCTCAGAGGCATTGCGGTAGAAAAACAATTGGCCGCAGTTCTTTCTTTCCTGTATTCACTCTATTTGCAATGAGACTGCAGCTCATCTCATCAAGAGGTGGAATCTAGAGGTGGGACTTGCTCTGACCAATAGACTGCTGTAGAGGCGACAGTGCGCCAGAACTGAACTTTATACCCAGAAGATCTTACACTTCTGTTCTTCATCTTGGGATTCTGCCCACACCGTGTGGAAAAGCCCCAGCTAATCTGCAGGAGGATGAGACCATGTGGGCCAGAACCTGGTGAGCCTAGTTGCCCAGCTCAGGCAGAGATAGGAGAAAATATAGTGGCAAAGACCAGGAAATTCAGATTCATGACCAAGTCCAGTTGAAACCAGAAGAACTACCCAGCTTGGCTTAGCCTACTTACAGAATTGTAAGCTAAATTAAAAAAAAAAAAAAAGTTTAGAGACGGTTTATTTCTCAGTAGTAGCTAAGGGAGACAACCATAAATGTTCAAAGATAGCGTGTTAGCTGGTGCCAATAATTGTGGATATAGGGTGAATTCTTCCTCAGTTACTGGGAATATCTGCAAAATTATGCCTGAGTTTTCCCAACATACTCATACTGTCCATTTAACTCTACAAAACCCAAGTATATTTTGAACATTATAACCTAAATTGCTTGGTAGCTAGGCAACCTATCTAAAACTTAGAGAAATTACCTTAAAAACAAAAACAACTCTATTTATAAAGGTGCCTTCTTAGTGATAACATTAAATTAGGGCAAAATTCTAAGATGACTTTCCATTGAACTTTATGTGTATAGTTAGCAGCCGTCACAAACACGCATTTAAAACAGTGAAGAACTAATTTTTTTAAAGGCAAGTTTATTTCCTTTCAACATTTCGGCAAAAAGGTTCTGTCACGCCTGTGTGGGTTAGAAATTTCAGGAAGCAAATTTATAATGTGAGAACAGGAACAATTCTATAAATTCATGCACTAGAGCATCTGGGCTTACTGCAAGCAAAGTTGTGGAGTAGAGAGGGGTTATTTTTTAAGATAGTTTGGGCAAATATTGTCCTTCTCTGTATCATTAAATAGAGAACACTGTGACTAATACTTGAAGATAACATCCTGTAGCCAATGGGATGGCCCTTAGAAGCAAAATCCTTCTCTTCGTCAAGGAGCCATGCCCTACATACTCACCGAGGCCTCTAGGTGTAGACAATGTGCAGGGAATGCCTACAGTTAATCTAGGTTAGAAGGAATAAACCTGGGTAGCAGAGTCCATGGTTTCTATAGTAGCCATTAATGAAGAGGTTACTGCTGCTGCTATCTCTTGGGAGGCCAAAAATAACCACGGCTGTTGCCAATAATGAGTCTAGGAATATGAATCTGTATTCCAAATGATAGTGACATCTCCTCTGACAGGATGTTGGGTTGCAAATTAGACAGGATAGAGATTACGTAGCAGGAAAATCTTGACATGAATATTTTAGCAATTCATTAAATTTAAATCACAAGGCCATTCAGTTTGACTGTGTCAACTGGCATTGGCAGATGGTGTTCATCAGTTGGTAATAGGAATCATTTCCTGTGAGACTGGTGACACGGATCATGTGGAGGAGGAGGAGGTGAGAGGAAGATGGCCTCTGCAGTCTTCTATGATGTCCCTTTCATGTGGAC